CAGTTTGTAGGTGTACCCACTGAGGAGCTAGGCTCATTGGCGTGGCCACTGTATTAACAATCCCCCCTTCGCTCGACCAAATCCTGCTAACGGGATACTACTACCAGAATCGAAATCAGGCCCCCCTTTAATTTGGTTGATGATGGGGCGACCGCCGGGACTCGTGGGGTGGGCGTGGGGTGGGTCTCCTCTCTACTGCCCTCTCTTTTTCCCGTTCCTCTCCTTAAACTTCTCCCGAGCCAATCGACGGCGGAACGGGGACAAGCTCGTTGTGCCGATCATCGCCCAATCACGGCGATGAGCAGGCAATCACTGTCCCGACGACGGCCAATCCACTGCCTGTTCCGTCGGGGGATCAATCACTGTTCCGTGTAAAAACCATATAAAAAATCAACATCAAAATTAAAATAACAAAAACAAAAAAGAAAACGAAAACAAAGACGACCATTGTTCCATCGGGTTAATCACTGTTCCCGTCGATCAATCAATCACTCTTCTGACGGCGGAGCAGTAATCCGTTTTGCGCCGATGGAACAGTGATGGATTGATTGATTGATTGATTAATTGATTAATTGATTAATTGATTGATTAATTGATTGATTGATTGATTGATTGATCCGCCTTGATTAATTGATTGATTAATTGATTGATTAATTGATTGATTAATTGATTGATTGATTGGTTGATTGATCCGCCGGAAAGCTTATCTCACTGCAGTTTCTGTCCGATCAATCGCCGCCGTTGCTGTCCCTGGGATCAAAATCAAAACCGAAGTCAAAATCAAAATCAAAATCAAAATCACTGCAGTCTCGTCGATCAATCGCTGCAGTTACGTAGAATCATCACTACAGTTCCCGTGATTAATCACACAGAAGTTTCGCCGAATCTTCACTGCAGTTTCCGTGATCACGGCCGTTTCCATCGGTTCAAAATCCAAATCCAAATCCAAATCCAAATCCAAATCCAAAATCCAAATCCAAATCAAAATCAAAATCAAAATAAGAGTCGATGCAGTTTCCATCGGATCGAAATTAACAAAAAAAACCGACGAGGTGTGTTTCTGTTTCTGTGCGATGGGATCGAAATCAGAAATCACTGCAGTACCCGACGGAATCAATAATCACTACAGTGTCGGTGGGAATCAAAATCAAAATCAGAATCACTCCAATTTCCGTCTGATCAATCAATGGTTCCTTGGTGACATTAAAAAAAAAAAAAAAAAAAAAACTGTTACCGTTACCCAGCCCATCTGGCTGAACGGTACAGCTCTAGATATCACTGTTGATGAACAGATCACGAGTTCCAATCCTGAACAAATCATCACAGGACGACGGGGTCAAATCACAATACCAATATACTCAAAAAAAAAAAAAAAAAACAAAAAAAAACCTGCTACCGTTTCCGACCACAGCAGTGGTGTGTGAGAGCAAGGCTTGTATCAGCCCCCCTCATCGCGATGATGCGGGGTGACCAGGCGCATTACCGACGGGGAGGGGGGGGGAAGGAACCAGCCGGCGATGCTACCGGTAGTGACGAGCATCTTTTGGCCAGTCACTTGCACCTCCTCCCCCTAACCCCCTCCAATCCCACTTTTTTTTTTCCTTTTTTTTACTTTTTTTTCCTTTTTTTTCCTTTTTTTTCCTTTTTTTTCCTTTTTTTTCCTTTGTTTTCCTTTTTTTCCTTTGTTTTCCTTTTTTTTCCTTTCTTTTTTTCCCTCCAACCCCACATTAGCGGGGTGTCTAATGGCCAATATCAAATTTGAATATCATTGCTGCATAGCAACCTAGCTCAGATGGTAAGGCACGCAAGTGGCATTCAGGAGGTCTTGGGTTCAATCCCAATTGGCCTCATGCACCTTACTGGGCATGCTTGGCGCCCGCCACCTAGAGATAGCCCGTTGGTCCCCCCAATTGGCATTAAAAAAGCAGTCTCTGCTGACGTTCATAGGGGGAGGGAGGGGTAATCAGGGAGGGAGGCACAGCGACTGGCCACTCAGATGATGCTCAGTCCGTCTGCTACCGGATGTCCCCTGGCCGGGGGTGTCCCCCATTGGGGGTTCCCTGAAGGCAATAAATAAAGGCCACCCTGGGCTGACAAGGCCACACCCGATGTCAGATTAGACACAATATTGAATTTACCTGGGCTGGTTAGTCCGATGATAATACCTCAAGGCCATCGCCCTTCTCTTAAAAAAAAAAAAAAAACTAAAAATCAATATTTGCCCAAGGTCCCGCCATTGCAAGAAGTTTCAAGTTTCCTTATTATATGGGAACACTGCAGCGATCAGTTAAAAAAAAAAAAAAAAAAAAAAAAAAAGATATCGATCCAGCGGAACAGTGGGGAGATAAAACGAGATAAAACACGTGAGGACATATCCGGCAGAACAGTGAGGACATATACAGTATTAGGGTGTCTCGCCTCACGGCACAGAAAACAAAACGAGTGCATCTTCCGCGGAAAACGGAATGATTCATTTCATCCGTTTACCAACACAGTAAATAGGAAACGAGACTGCTAACGAATGTATTCCGCCACCGTTTGTGGCCAGATCCACTCGTTTTTTTGTGTCGTTTCGTATACCGTGCAGCGAAGAAGCCCATAGCCTTGCCGACGGAACACACTTGCTGACGTCACGGTCACTGATGAGATGGAACAACCGTAATTGATCCCTATGGGAAAGTGAGTGAGGTCTTGTTAAACCACACCAGTACTTGGCCAAGCTATCGCCCGCGAAAAAAAAAAAAAAAGAAAAGAGTAGAAACGTTTCTAGTCGGATGAATCTGGGCGCTCCTGTAGTAGCCCGTACGTTTCCTAAAATCGTGGCGCGTTAACGGGCCCGACTCTAGGACCAGTACTGAAGTGGTTTAAGCTTTCCGACGGAACCAGTGATTGATCTGACGGACAGTGATCGATCCGAGGGAACAGCGATTGATCCGACGGAACAGACACCCTTGCCTGATCCCGTGATGGAACAACGAAGAAAGAGACTCCGCTCCGCTTTCCATAGGAACAGTGAGGAATCCGAGAGGGAGCGGATCGGAGATCGGTCGAAAGAAAGCGACCGAGTAACTCCCCCACCTTCTCCTCCACCCCCTCCTCCCCTCCCCTCCTCCCCCGAGGGAAGAGTGACTGATTCGACGGAACAAACACCCTTGCCTGATCCCTTGATGGAACAGCGAGGAAAGAGACTCCGCTCCGCCTTTTTTCTGCATAAGAAGATTCAAGATGATAGATTCTTGACTGGAGCGGATCGGTCGAAAGAAAGTGATCGAGTAAACCCCCCCCCCCCTGATTCGACGGAACAGACACCCTTGCCTGATCCCTTGATGGAACAACGAGGAAAGAGACTCCGCTCCGCTTTCCATAGGAACAGTGAGGAATCCGAGAGGGAGCGGATCGGAGATCGGTCGGAAGAAAGTGACCGAGTAATACCCTCCCCCTCCCCCCCATCACCCAAAAAAAAAAAAAAAAAAAAAAAAAAAAAAAACACGGATCTGGACTATATCTCGGACCAGATTCCGTGTAAGAGATCCGAGCTGCGCGGGGGTAATGCAAAACGGATACAGCTATGGCTGATAGCCGGCGGAACAACAGCCGCCGGCACACTCAGTCTGGCACCACTCGACTGCTGGCAACGCAACGCCTGCGTTCCTGCGCGCCAGGTCTACAGTAGGTTTCCCCCCCTTCTCTTATCTTCTACGTTCCCGCTTGAAGGCCGTCGGCCCTCTATTCTTAGACCATCGGGCCCTCAGCCATCTATTCTCAGAGACATGTATGGTCGGAAAGTCAAGGTGGTGCCGCAAAGCGATTCTGGGAGAAGCCCCGTGAGGAGAAGAAGCCCCCTGAGGAGTGACAGGAGCGCAGCCTGGCCGAAATGCGTCGGGGAGATGGCGATGGAGTTTCATGCGGAGAACTGTAAATGAGGAGAAGTAATGCAAATCTATCGATCGATACCCGTACGAGAAGCACTATGTGGCCAATGTTTTCACTATTCTTCTTCTGCTTCTTCTTCTTCTTCTTCTTCTTCTTCTTCTTCTTCTTCTTCGTCTTCTTCTTCTTCGTCTTCTTCTTCGTCGTCTTCTTCTTCTTCGTCTTCTTCTGAAGCATGTGCGAGAAGCAGTCTATGACTCTATGGCTGCTGGTTTTACTATTCACTATTCTTCTTCCTCTGCTTCTTCCTCCTCCTTCTTCTTCTTCTTCTCCTTCTTCTTCTTCTTCTTCTTCTTCTTCTTCTTCATTGCTCTTGTTCGTAAATGGCAGTTCTTTTTGCTACTGCTTGTCACTCTTCTTCTTCGTCTTCAAGTTCGGTTGGGCATTGCTTGTCACTCTTCTTCTTCTTCTTCTTCTTCTTCTTCTTCTTCTTCTTCTTCTTCTTCTTCTTCTTCATTGTCGTTTTCCTGTCTCTTATACACATCTAGATGTGTATAAGAGACAGGATATATATCGTCAAACAGAACTATATATATATTGTAAATCAGAGCGCGAAGGCGGAAAAAAGCAAAACAAGGAAAGGAAAAGAAGGAAGGAAGGAAAGCCCCTCCTCCCTCCCTCTCTTTCTCCTCGCAGTTCTTACCTTCACCCGACAAGCTGTGGATCCAAGGCTGTCTCTTATACACATCTAGATGTGTATAAGAGACAGGGTGTCGACTGGCCTGTGTATGGAGACGTGGACTAGATTGGCAATCATCAGGAGGTGGTTGGCTGATTGGAGGACAGGCTGCTCTGCTGGTAAACTGGAGACGCTGTTGGGATCCGGACCGGCCCAAGCGAGCTCGTGCAACCTCCACGTGTCTTCCTACGCGTAGAACGCTGGTGGGGTCGGGGCCTGTGGATATTGCCCTGCGGCTTTTCTAGACTTGCCAGGGTGGAAGTATGGAATTTCCAAAGACGAGGAACAATGGAAGGAGGAGGGAGAGGAGAAGGAAGTAGAGGAGAAAGGAGCGGGCGAGCAAGGAGTAGCAAGAGACAAGTAGATAGAACGACAAGCCTCATCTTCTCACCAAACACTTCCGCTCCCCTCTGTTTCACCGCCACACGCGTATCGCGGATCTCTCTGTGTGTGTGTGTGTGTGTGTGTGTGTGTGTGTGTGTGGGGCACCGTGTACCCTCACATCCAGAGCCCAACCCCCCCCCCAAGAGGACTACGAATCAGACAGCACCAGGCGAGTCCGATTTGCCCACGCTGGCACTCGTACTAACTGATGCCGTCAACCAAATTGTCCTAAAAATCCTGCACCATGACACTGGTGCGTGACAACCATGGGTAGTCCGTGGCAAAAAAAAACCATTTTGTTTTTTAGGGCCGTGGCAAAATAAACGCGGCACCAACTGGCTTGGATCTATGAATTGTTGAAATACGTAGTACGCAAACCTGCGGCCGTTACCCACCATGGGGCCGAATGGCGCTCTCATGTCCTCATGTGTTCGAACCCAACGGGTCAGATGAAGTACCGATTCAACCCAGGACCTTGTCCCACAAACACCGTTGAGTTGAGGTAACTCACCGGGGGCCAAGTGCCACTAGCAGCGTTGAGCTACCTCAACGCCTGAATGTGGACGCTTTGCCGATAAGTGCAGCAATGGTGTTGAGTTTCCTGAACTGCAAGTCTCCACAAACACGTCCAGAGGCGTTGAGGTAGCTCAACGCCTGAATCTGGACGTGTTCGTGGAGACGTGCAGTTCAGGAAACTCAACACCATTTCTGCACATCTCAGCAAAAACGTCCAGATTCGGGCGTTGAGGTAGCTCAACGCTGCTAGTGGGACTTGCCCCCGTGTGACAGTGGGAAATGCCTTTTTTAAATCGAAAGAAATCGGTAGTGTATTTTTTTATGTGTGTTTATTTATTTATTTATTTATTTATTTTTATTTTTATATTGGGGTGATCACAACTGTCTATATTCTTCTCTCAACTTCTGTTTGTTTGCCTTCCACTACCTACTCCTAAGACTATCTAGAGGGGACCCCTGCAAGCATAGTTTTCCTCTCTGTGTGAAGGGGAGATTTCATGTTGCCCCTTGCCCCTAATGGTTAGGGTATAGGGTTGCGGCCGCCAGTGGGGGTCTGGCTAACACAAAGACCGAGACCTGCCAGTAGCTGTGCCTCCCTTTCTCATCGTCCCCCACCCTTCATCGAGTAGCAGCAGAGGCTATGGCCAACACTCTCCCACACACCACACACAACCCACTCGCGCTCACACTCACACCCGTGTTGGTCATAGACCCCGCTAATACCGATCAGGGGTATCCAGAGAACTATCACAGTCCGTTGGCACTAAGTGCGCCGCAGGCGGCCATGGGGCTTGAACCCACAACCTCCTGAATGCCACTTGCATGCCTATCGCTTTATATTTCAAGTTTATATATTTCCCCACCTTTCATTCTATTTCTATTTTATAATACAAAGCTATTTATCGATTGTGAGAAGGTCGGTATTCATCATGACGTCCACCGCTGCCATCTGAGGAAGTGAAAGTGAGCTCTGACATGTGCTGTCAGCGTTAACCGTGCCCACAGCTCCCAACAAGCAGTGAAGTCGTCTCATCTCAGGGAATTATGATGTCCACATGAATGTGGACATCATAACAGCTGCATTCAGAAGTGCCAGATCGGGGCTCGCCACACAGCCTTTCGAAACAGGGGGCAAGGTCCCACTTGCGCAAATTAGGAGATTTCGACCCTTGATCTTTGCTATCTACGGTCACTATCTCTTAATTCGTGCAAGTGGGACCTAGCCCACGGAAAATGGACACTCCATCTTCGCCACACAGCCTTTCTTTTTTTTTTTTCCTTTTTTTTTGGGACACAGCCTTTCGAACCAACTCCACCTTTTCATGTTTCGAAAGGTGTCAGTCCCAATGCATTCGAAAGGCAATTGGAAGTGGGCCGTCCCTCCCGCCTGTCATGGCCCGAATCTCAAAAGCCTCAATAGGTTCTTGTGAAAATGGGCCCTCACGATGACCATGTGTCTGTCAGGGTCCAGGTCGCCACCCTGACAACCTCCATTTTTGTCGGGGGGTTCCTGCCTGTCACGAGGGCAGTACAATGACGGAATTCGAAAGGAAGAATGTTTCGAAAGTCTGCGTGGCCAAGTGGGGTTTTCTTGCGAACGACGGGCTTTCGCATCTGACAACTTTCGAAAAGTGCCTCGGTTCAAAAGGCTGTGTGGGGAGCCCCATTCTCTTTTCGCTGAGCGTGTGAAACGAGGAGGAACAGCCATTTGCCTCATACCGTTAGAGGCTCGCCACACAGGCTGTCGAAACTCTTTGAGTTTCGACAGCTGTCAGAAAGAAACCGAAAGTCGGCCGTCGACAGTTTACCCACCCTTCCCCACACAGGCTGAGGGGCAAGGTTTTTGGTCATGACCAAATGGACCCCGCCTTTCGACAGGGCACGGGTGTGACGGAACAGTCCCTGACAATGCAAATTTGAACACAGTTCTCGAACCGCAAGTGGGGCACTTTCGAATTTCCATCTCGTGGGGCCTGGACCCACCAGCGAAGTTAAAAAAAAAGAAAAAAAGAAAAAAAAAAGGGCGATGGCCTTGAGGTATTATCATCAGACTAACCAGCCCAGGTAAAGTCAATATTGTGTCTAATCTGACATCGGGTGGCCTTTTCAGCCAGGGTGGCCTTGATTGCCTTCAGGAAACCCCCAATGGGGGACACCGGCCAGGGGAGAGCCAGTAGCAGAGGGACTGAGCATCATCTGAGTGGCCAGTCGCTGTGCCTCCCCTATTACCCCTCCCCCTATGAACATCAGTAGAGACTGCTGCTTAAATGCCAAATGGGGGGACCAACGGGCTATCTCAAGGTGGCGGGCGCCAAGCATGTCCAGGAAGGTGCATGAGGCCAATGGGGATTGAACCCAAGACCTCCTGAATGCCACTTGCATGCCTTACCAACTGAGCTAGGCCGCTCTATTAACGAAGAATTTTCTACCATGTCTGATGCAATTTTATGGTTTTTTGGAATATTTGCATGAATGGATCATTTTCTGATTTAAAATGAATTGAAATGGCACATAAAACAAAGAAGAACAGATGTGCACCCGAATTCATGGGTTGGTAAAATGTGTCCACGAGCACAGCCACGAGGATGAACAAGTAACGGGTATGGGGATACATTCATCACCATGTATCTCATGATGCCTCTAACAGACCATCCGACAGAAGCGGAGGCGTTCCTGTCAGATCCACCACAATATTTGAATTTCACATTTTAAGTTCGATTCCTCAGAGCCAAAAAAAAAAAAAAAACGATGTCTGGAAATCAACCCTCCCCCTTTGGAGTCCATAAAATCCAGACTTCCCGCCCACACAAAGCCACGAGCTATCATGTCCAAATTTGTTTTTCGTTGTTTTTCGACGCATCTCATTGGACGGAGGTGGGCATCTTTACAGTGCCCGCTCGAAAACTACCAGGCCGTCGAGATCTGATGTATTCGACGGTCGTACTGCATCACTTGAGGCCACACGTGATCGAAATCCTGAACGGAGTGGTAGAATACTTCGCTAATGGGTCCAGGCCCCTGCAGGCGGGAGGAAAAGAATGGGAGAGGCTGGCTGTCGAGCGCTGTCGATTTTTTTTTGAGCCGCAATTCTTCGAAAGTCTGTGTGCCAATGCAAAATTGTCGGAAACCTGGTTTTCAACAGCCTGTGTGGCGAGCCTCTTAAACCACCAGTACTTCCCAAAGTCGTGCCCGTTAACTCTACGCGATTTTAGGAAACGTACGGGCCACTACAGGAGCGCCCAAATTCATCCAACTAGAAACGTTTCTACTCTATTTTCTTCTGTGGCCGATAGCTGGGCCAAGTACTGGTGGTTTAATAACGGATATCGAAAATGCTCTGACGCATACAATAATGACGGCACCAAGTAAATTAAAAAAAAAATCACACATCGCCCACAAGCTTCGAAGCGTTGAGCTGATGAGACGCAAAAACGAGTCAGCTAGGTCAACGAGAAAGGGCAAGGGTAGGGGGCGTTGTATTCGAGAGGAGCTATTTTCCCACCTTCCATTCTATTTTATAATACAAAGCTATTTATCGATTGTGAGAAGGTATTCATGACGTCCACCGCCATATGAGGAAGTGAAAGTGAGCTCTGACATGATGTGCTGTCCGCGTTAACCATGCCCACTGCTGCCTACATCCAGTGAAGTCATCTCAGGGAAGTTGCCAGTCCACATGAATGTAAACATCATCACAACTCCATTCAGAAGTGCAAGAGCTTGTGAAAAGAGGAGGAACAGTCATTTGCCTCATACCGTTAATAACGGATATTGAAAACGCTCTGACGCAGATGATAATGACGGCACCAAATAAATGAAAAAAATTCACACATCCGTTGCAAGCTTCGAAGCGTTGAGCTACCTGAGACACAAAAACCAGTCAGCTAGCTCAATGAGAAAGGGCAAGGGTACGGAGTGTTGTATTCGAGAGGAGCTATTTTTCCACGGTTTCTCTGAAACGAAAAGACGCCTTTTCGTTTCGCGTCGACACTTCACATAAATCAACCGTGCGATTTTAAGGAGATCTCGCATCTTACGCGCCGTGCGGTGTCACTCATGGTTGGAAACCCCAACGAGGAGCTGGCTCAACGGCGTTGGTGGGACAAGGTCCCCAAGTAAGTTTGCACCAGTTCACACAAATGTAAATTGATGAACCAAGTTTGCACTTTTCTGAGCCTGATTGCCACAGTAACAGGCTGAAAAAAAACATCTCGGGATTGGAGGGGTTCGAGGGGTCTGTGGGAGATACTTTAGGGCCCTTGAGTTTTTACCTCTTCGTGTTGGAACTTGGTCCGTTTAGGAACTGAGTAGAGTCTTTGTTGGTAATTCCTTGCTATGTATAGATGTGACGCGCTAACCTCACGCCCTGTGCTGTCTTTCGTTCGGAGTGCTGAAGGTGCGGAATGGAGGCCCAGAAAAACAGCAAGATGGGGTGTGCCAAGGATTTTTGGGAAATTGAGTGTGGGGACACAGACAGAACTGAAATCCCCCGTGTTGGCCCGATSAAGTAARTCGGTCGYTTTCGCGYGTCGCGGAATGCGCGYRCGGGCACKRCGCGAAAAWAGAAAAATCCAAATTCAATCCA